AATCAATGGCTCAGCAGCTGTAACCCAAGCAGACATCAATCTGCTTTGCATTTGTCTTAACCGGAATTCAGATAAAGTCATTTGCAAGTAAATTGCTAGGAGATTCATTAAAGTCCTTATCTGTAGCCTGGCCTGACAGCCTTAAGATTTAAGTAGCCACAGACAGGGGCGATGCTCTAGGAAGATGAAGGTGTGTGCAGAAGGGGGAGTGCAGATTCATTTATCTTAATTATATACATCAGCAAGAACTGGATTCACGAGGCCCAGAAGCAATTAAAGGCATTCAGACTGGTGTTCAGAGATTGTGTTTCCCTAGGTGTTGCGCTGCCTGTCTATGTACAGTACTTACTCACAAAGCCTGCAGCACAGCAGTTGTGTCATGGAAGCTTTACTGATGGAGGTCTTTTCTTCTGGATTTACATTACACTGCTATATGCAGTAAAAGAAGCAAACTTTTCTTTTAATAACATAGTTTCTCGGCCCTGCTGTGCACATGGTTTTTCTAGCGTTTTGGGTCTGACTCAATGCAACTAATGGCAGTGGCTGAAAAGATTTATTTGGAGTTCCTTTACAAGGGGGGCACGATTAATATAGTCAGAGCAAAAACAACATCTATATACTGAACACCAGGGTTCCTCAGTTCCAGGTCTGCTCCTCTAAGGCAGCAGTGTGGCAGGGTTTTTACTGTAATTCTCCATAAATTACCAGCCGGACCCCTTTAAACCTCCTGCACTGCTCTAAAGCCGCTGTTGATAAAGGGTGACCTGGCTGGACAGTTGCCCTTGAGGATTGAATTACAGGAGCGCTGCTACAGTTCAGTGCAGGCCCTGACAATACTAAAACAAGCACCCTCTGAAATAATGGAACTGTTTGGGGTGCTCACAATGCTTCTGCTCCGCAGGTTAAAACAATTATCCTTCCACATGAGTGCCTGTGTCAAACCAAGCAGTCAGCTTCTGCCTTCTTTGTGTCTGCTCTCTTTTGTGGAAATGGTGGCATCTAGATTATTTGTCGGGGCTGCTGAAAAATAAATAAATGCATATTTACTGAGAGGCATATTTACTGTGTATGTCTGCCTGCTAGTTTAAAAATGTTGCTGGGCTTCTGTAAATGTTTTCCTGATGTGGGATTCTGTTATTCCTGTAGCTTTTCTTTATGCTCCAAATAGATGGCTTGCTGATACGGTACTTTGTGATTCCGAGAGCTCTCCATTGTGAAGTACAGAAAACGAGCAGACCACATCTCTCACAATCAGTCTCTCTGACAGACAGGGCTGTGCTGCAGTGCTGACTGAAAGGACGTTCCTTGTCTCCACCCCAGCTGTGTCTTTACACACCGCCTCGACTTGTCTTGCTATGAAAGCGAACCTACACTTCATTCCTCCCACTTAAATCACTTCCCTTCAGAGCAGTGTCTTCTAGCGTACACCTACCTCAGTACTCCAACACAGCTCTCCTCACTCTCCTCTCTGAGGTTCTCAAAAAGAGTATTGCCTTAGATGGACTCAGGGATAGCGCAGCTTCCAGCTGGCGAGAAGAGAACTCATTCACCTGCCACATGCCCTGTCAGCTCAAGGGAAACTGCATGTTCGCTCCAAAATAAACCCAAAGCAGGAACCTATAATTCCACTGTTTCTGGGCTCCGGTTTGGAGCAAGAAATCTGGAGCACAGCTTGCTAACAAATTTGACTCGACTCATTTGAGAAAAGAATTAACCACGGCTACACTCTGGAGATATTACTGATAAACAGTAAAAACATGTCCTACATATCCTACACCCCCACCCACTCCCTTAGATTCCATTAGGAAAAACAAGCAGCGGAGAGAGGAGATGAAATCGAACACATTCTTAAAGTGTTTCTTTTTAACACAGCACTTTCTTTCAGGAAAATGAATGAATTAAAAGGGTGGTAGCACCTGTTGATTTAGTATGATTTGCTTTGAAATTGTTCTGTACTTTAAAATACACATAAGGCATTCTATACAATACAGCACGTCTCATGATAAAGCCTGATAGGTCACCCCGGATATCATCCACAGTTATATTGTATACTAGGGTGATCATGAAATCTGTATACGCAGTGGTGAACATTGTTATTTCTATTGATGACACTCATTCATTTATACTTTTTCATGTCTCTCACTTCACTTTCATACTTCTTTAATCTCTCTACAAAGCACCTATGAAACAGGAGATTTCTATTGTGCTTTGGACCCCACTAAAACAGCGAATGCCAGCAGGGTTTAATCTATTCTTTGGTGGGTTCATCAGTCCTTAGGCTTGTCCCCTCTGCAGATGCCTCTGTTTGGGCCTTTGAGCATTGCGACAACCCCCAGCTCTCCCAGTCCACCCACGTACAGAACAGATCTCCGCTTTGGCCTCTAGCCATGAGCTTGCTTTGTTTGGACAGAGAGATGCCTCTTCGACTAACACCTCAAATGTCTGCGAGTAACAGCTGCACTTCAAACAAAGACAGCAAGAATGATGGGAAATATTAAGGACCATGGGAAGTGAGGCATTCCCAGTCTTTATTTTCACAGTTTTTATAACTCTAATTTGCTGCTGGCAGATAACAGTGCTGGTTTTACTCAAAATGCACCAGAAAATGTGAAAGATGACTTCAAAGAGCCTTTCTAACCAAATATCCCAGTTGTTTGTTTTGGAGTTCAAAGGAATCTCAGCTGCTTTTTGAAGCAATCTGTCCAGAAGACTATAATTGTAAACGGGTTTGAGAGCCCTGCTATGCCCACCAAAGTAGGGGCAAGCCCCCACAAACACAGCTGTGGAAGCCCCCCAAAACACAGTGTGATTCCATTTTATCTCTCATCCAGTCAGACTTCAGTTGGTCCGTTTTTTCAATGAGGCAAATAGCAGAAGCTTAATGCCGTTTGCTGGGTGTCTGAAGTGGTGTGAGAAAGATGTGCTCCCTGCTTTTAACACCGATGTAAATCCTCTTAGCTCCGGGCGCCTCCAGCATCCGAATGGCCAGTGTGTTTGCTATTTGCAGAGTACTGCTCAATTGCTGTTAAAGTGTTAAAGTGCTGTTTAAGTGCTTGTTTACCTTTCTGCCTCTTTCTTACTTTAATCATCAATAGGATCGAGGATTATTTCTATTGAAAATCTCATTACAGCTGGTAGCTTGGGAGACTCCCCCCGCCCCCTCCTTGTCTGGAAAAGAGCAGTTACACTTATCTCTAACCGCCACCACCTCTGTTGGGATTAATTTGGTCTGAGAGATTTCTTTTTGTCCTTCAAAAAGATGCCCCCTGGCGCTGTTAATGGGACCTCATAACCACCCCAGCTGCTCCGCTCCCTTCCAAACAGCTGGAAGGGAAGGCCCCCTTGCCTCAGCCTCAGTCAGTAGTGATTGGGAGCCTCTCCAGTTCATTGGGTGTCTTTTTCACTTGGGCTGTGCACGACCCCGTCAGAGCGTCCCTCACAGCTGCTGCCGCCCAACAGGCACAACATTCTCGGGTTTCGGTCTGCACTTCACACAGCCCGGCAGATTCTGTCCAACATCGCCTTGTTCCCCCGACTTCTGCGCCAAGTGCCTCCTCTGAGCTCGATCCCCGATTCCCTTCCTGTGAGAACAGGGGCTGTGCCAAGTTTGGTGCAGTTCAGAACATTCACTGTTGTGGTTATCTTAGCACGCTTAGTTCCAAACCATCAGCTGTTAAACACAAAATGGAATACACTGAAGGCTGGGAAGTACAGTTTAATTTCATCCTAACTTATTATATTACATTAGACATCCCCATCTTAATGGTGATAAAGCCATTGTTTTTGCATCTGGGTAGCATTGCCAGGATGGGCCTTAATCTGTATGGGTGATTAGTAGAATAGATGGTTCATGGCTGTGTGTTTTTTCCAGGTCTACTTGCAGACATCTACAAGAGCATGTTAAAATATTTTCACAACTCGCTAGCTTGGATCTGTGATCCTGTGCAAATGATCACATCACTCCACTGACTTTCCAACAGATCTCAAGCTGATTCGAAAATCTTACTGCTGACATTCAAGGATCTGCATAGCAAGGCTCCTCAGTCTCCAGCTATCTCCAGCGTTATATCTAATCCCCTGTTAACTCCTCTCCATGTGACCTTGGCTCAGCTCATTCTGGTTTGTTGTGTGCTCCCTCAGAACATGTAAAGTCTGTGGGTCACTGGGCCTTTTGTAGATATTCCCCAGAGCTCTGGAGCACCTTGCCAGCAGAAGTCAGAGAGTCAGCCAGATGTGGTGCTTTTAAACCTAGTTTGAATACTTAATTTTTCTCTAACGTTTTTTTGTGATTGCTTCATCTACTGTATCAACACATTTTCTTGTCTTTTAAAAGAGCTCTAAGGTGTATAAAATTCCCCTTTCTTATAATTAGATATCGGGAAATGAACAAAAGGAATCAAGGATTGGGAACATGTGGCTTGCTTGTCCCTAGTATTTGATTAATTTGGCTAACCCTGCCAACAGACTTCAGATGATTTGGCCTTCATGCTGAGTAATGCATCTTTTTAAGGGGTAGAATATTGAATCTGTCCAAAGAGGACTTCATCCTACTTTGTTTAGATAATTGAGTTTCTGCGGCAGTAAGTATTATGAATTTTCTTTAACCCAGGGTTAAGGATGGCCTGTGAGAATGCTTGCCTGAATTTCCCCTCCAGTACCAGCGCCTGAACATTTCACGGAGAAATGCAGGTGCGCTGTTAAACCCAGCCTTCTGTCACTGCTTTTGATGTTTCCAAAGGATAAGCCTCATATGAAAAATTCAGCAGGAAAAAAGACTGTTCTGTTAATTATTCCACTGAGCCCTTTTCTGTGGAGCAGCACGATTCCTTGCCTTGCCTTTATTAAAGTGTGTGTGTGGGAGAGAGGATCTTTTCCTCAGTTCAGCAGTCTGAAGTCCATCCGGAGCAATGTGAAACAGGCATATACTGTACATAAACAGTCCTCCCTGGCTTTTTATTTTTAACTATTTTCAATATTTATAACAGTGAGTAGAACATAAAATGGCATTAAATCACAATTAAGTGCAATGTGAACAGTGCATTATTATTTGAAGATATGAGCATAAGTCAGCAAATCAAAACTTTGTTATAAACAGTACATGTATTTTTAGGACGTTAGACTCCATTTAAGGGCATTTTTCACCTTGAAGCATGTGTACAATGAAGAAGACTTGAATGAACTGTAATTAACTGTAACAAAATGAAACCAGGAGGGCATTTTTAATTCAAGTGAGGTGAACGTTAAGGAAGATGGTTAGTCCATGATCCGTCTTGGGGTCTGATGTACTGTACAGCACCATGCTGCATTTCAGCCTTCAATCTGTATAGATTGCTTTCTGTGTGGAGGGGTTTGTAAGTGGAAGATTCAGTCAAATGTTTTTAGGAACCCATTTTCAGCTTCTCTCTGCCACCCCCCTTAAATTGACCAAACTGAGCAATGTTGTTGTTTTTTTCATATAATCAGAAGTGATGTAAATGGCAGAGATGTCAGGGCTTACTTACATGCAAAGGTTTCACTGTGAAACAGCAGACTGCGATTACAGGAATTGCTAGCTGTTGTTCTTGGTTATTCTTATTGTTTTGTCTTTACAAATAATGCATTATCATTATGCCAGATATTGTCAGCCTAACGACCCATTTCACACAAGGCCTGTAGTTACACTGAAAGAGAAGCCAATTAGCTAACTTAATTGCAAAATTCAACGCTAGGTTGCTCCAGCTACACAGGTTTAATTGACGATAAGTTTTTGAGTGCGGCTTTCTGCTAAATAAGAACAGACTCCAGGAGTAACGTGTGACTTCTGCTGCGGAATTCCTTTTCACTTAGTTTTTTAACCAGATATATGCACTTACTGTAGGTTGCAAACACCTTAAAGTAAACATTATGCCCAGAGAAGGATCTTGAATTAGATAGGGAGCTGATTTACTCCCTAGTAAAGTTACTATCAGGATAACATACACAGCATTTTAACAGCCCCCAAGAAACAAGCCTCTGTCCCTCTCTGTGCACAGGACATAAGAACCATGAGACGATGACTACTTCTTGACTCAAAGAGAAATAACAATGATAATGATGGTAAAGATATAATTGTAGTAGTATAATAAATGTTTCACCCTTGGAGTTGTATACCAGAAGGTGTTGTTTGTGAGGAAAGAGGTTGGTTACCATGCTGTGTGCAACATGCCATCATCTGTGAGCTCAACCAGCTTACTACCTGGAACAGAATCTAGGCCACTGATGTCAATTAATTAGGAAGAACAGTGCTTCTGACACACTGACCCCCTATAATGAATAAATGCTCCATGAACTTCCTAAAGACAATTAACAGTCAATAAGAGTAGTTTCATAGAGGGTATTTACAGTACAAGTGTCCAACTGAATGAAAGACGCTGACTTGTTGACAGTGATGATGAGTATTTTGAGTCCACCAAACATTCCTTTTTTCGTGAACTCTTTGACGAGGAATGCCTTCTCCTCCAGAATTAAATGAGACAAACTAACAGCACCCTGCTGAATTATCCTTTTGGCTGTGTGTGGTACAGGGAGGACAACAGTTACAGAGCTCCATATCGCTTCCTTCCATCTGGATTTTCCACATGATCCAGTGTTCACAGCTCTGTGCTCCCAGGTTCAGAGGAAGGCCAGAGATTACATAACTATAAAAAGAAGAAAAGAGTTTTAGCATTGTTTGAAGATCAGGAGAAAAGGACACTGCTCAATTTCTCAGTTATTATTTTTCCTTTATTGGTGTTAAAAATACTGCTGGATTATTGCTCCTGGCCCTCAGATAGCCAGGCTGCTCCAATAACAGCCATGCTCCACAGCAGGGAATCTGACAAAGAATAAATCTGTGAGACACCAGCTACTCTGAATTATTTAAATTCATTTTCAGAAGGTGCTGGAGCTGGGCAGTGGGGAGAGTTTATTTCATCTTCTACAAAAAGGGAAATCAGCCGGGCCAAACTGGACCGCTGTAGGCAATTCTTGTTCACTGTAATGCTGTTGCTGGTTTTACTTTCTGCAGGTCTTAATTGGACTGAATTCCAAAGGAATTCACTTGTTGATTATGTAGAGTAGCTATAAAACCTGCAGGATTGGGGCTCGTGGGGATGAGAGTTGTACAACAGAGCTCTAGGTGCTTCATTAGCAGGAGCAACATCAACCTCTAGACTCATGGGACAGCACAGAGGAATAGTTACAAGACAGAGGTAAGTTCAAGCCCCCCGTGTGAATGCAGGTGTTATACTCCTGAGGAGCGATATTTCATTTTTTTATTACAATAACCCTCCTCTCTGCAAGAGCAGGGTCAATGCTGACCTCTGTGCCAAGCCCTCATCTAACCGGACCCCAACTCCGGCCCTGAGCACTTCTTCCAAACAACACCATTCCCATCAATCAACCAACCACCACACTACACCTGTCACCACGCCTTCCTCCTCCACCACCTCGGCCGCTACTTCGGAGACCCTACCTCGCCGTCTTTTCAAAGTATTCAAGCCTTTTCGGATAAGAATTTCTGAACCCGTCTTTGACCAGGTCTCTGGCCTAGCCCTTTCGGATTGGAAACTGATAGTCTTTTTCAAATACGAACTTCGGATCTCGCTCTGGACCAGGTCTCTAGCCTAGCCCTCTCTTGGATCGGGAACTACTGGATCTTTTATCCTTTGTCCCCTTACCTCTGAGGTTCCGCATAGGGTCCAACCTGTGCACCCGGTTGGGCTGCCGGCTATTCTTGACACTCTGTTGTGGGGGTGTCAAGATGAATCTGCGATTCGGCTAGCCACTGTGTGCCTTCAACCCACGCTGTGCTTCAGAAACCATGATGAGCTCCAGCCAGCCAGATGAGCTAATGCAGCTGGTCGCCGTGTTTGGATTGCATGTTCAGAAATCAGTTTCAGGTGTATTAATTTACTGTAGTTATTCCTTTAGCTACCAGGTAGGTCAACTGAGATCAAACTCTCATTTTACCATGATGACCTGGAAAGGCATGTGCAGAGCAGGGCATGCCCTGGTGCACTGGAGAGAGGTATCTGGCTCAGCAGTAGAGCAGCAGGGCCCCACCCTAGGACTGAAGCCACGAGCCTTCAGCCCAGAGCTCGGAGACCTGCTCCAACACATGCTGCCGCCTTCTGCAGCAGTTCACCGACAGCACAAAGGCACCAGCAGTGGAGAACATACATCTAGATATTAATTGGCATTATTTCCTTACACTAAATGTGCACACACGCACCCAGAGAGCCGATAATTTCCGTCAATAGCGGCGTTGTTAGACAGCTGAGGGTTTGATTTACTAATGCTTGGAGAGCCAGGGTTACTCCCACACACAGGGGGGATTCCGCACAGAAGCAGCTTGAGCCATCGGGGGGATTTGCACCAGAATGAAAAATTAAAGGCGCAGGAGGTCTTTGCTTTGCAATCAAACAACTTCTTTGCCTCCCCTGTCCCTTCGCAGTGGGGGCTGCCGGAGAGCAAACCTGAATCTGAAATATCGTCACCTTTGGAAAACAAAATATTAAAACACAGAGAGAGGCTTTCCAGTCTGCTGAATGTAGGAGGATTGAAAAAAAAATTAAACTGATCGCTCTGCTCATTCCAAGGGCCACAGCGGGGACCTGATTGCAGGTTGTTTTGCTACATTCAGATAAGTGTTCTCTTGCCTGCGTGATAGAAACTAATACTGATTGTAGAAAGGATTTACCTACTGCGTCTGTTTCACTCTGCCCAAAAATAAAATTAATGAGCATTGGAATGAAAGACCTACAGCCTGGATACTGCTGCAATCTGTTTTGCAATTTCAAATGTTGTCTTAGTAAAATAGACCAGTGTTGTCAGTTCGTGAGATCAATATTAGAATTTGGTGTTTAAAATGTCGACAGGCTGCAAATTGCTCATGCTTTTCTCCTATGGTTGTTTGTGCCAACAAGCAAACACCATGAAACTTAAAAGCCACAGGTTTTTGGCCATAGCTTGTTTTTGATTGTGTGTTGTATCTCTGTGTGTGGCATTTGCTGTGTTGTTGCTGTACACAAAATAAAGTTATGTGTAATTGACTTAATGTACAATTACCTAGGATCCTCTTACAGTTGTACAGTGCAAATTACTACCCTTGGAGTGTCAGGCAAACAGAGTTAGAAATTTCTGAGACCTTTTCTGTGACACCAGGCTCGAACCTTCTATATACAACTTACTCGACCTAAAAAAATAATAAAGTTATAATATCTTTGCATGAAAATTCCACTGCTTGCAGGCGTACCAGAAACTCCCTTAAGATCTAATTGCATTGTTGTTGAGGCTCGCATAAGAGAAATGAGGGAACGGCAGTTAATTTCACTTGTGCTTCGCATTCATCATTACCTTCATAAGGAAAAGCACAGTGCATTAATTCCTTCCAAAAAAACCTCTCCCTTCCTTGAATGCTTCCTTAATAGCTAGCTCTTTGCTTTAGCCTTGGTGCAGGGCTGTCTTCGCTTCTGAAGATAAATCTCCCACTGTGCTCTCCTCTCCCTGCTCCCCATGGCTCCTCAATGTGGGTCATATTAAACAGCCAGGGAGGGAGAGTGCCGGAGTCGAAACCGTGCAGTATGTTCGTTAGAGCCAAGCTAGAAATCTCGAATATCTTGGTGAGCCGTTGAAATTGAGCTGCTTCACATGTAGCATCTGCTTAATCAGTTGTCTCTGGCCTTGTCACTGTGACATCCTTGTACCTTGTGCGAGACAATCGCAGGTTACAATTTCAAGCAAACCAAAGCTTACCAAACCAAAAATACTGTTTTCTAATATGTTTTTTAAAATGAATTATTCTGATTCACATAGAGACTCCTTTTTTTTTACCTTTCCCCCTTTGACCTGTCAGAGGACGTGCTCTCAGAATGCCATTCGGTAGAGGCTAGAGACAGTATTTAACAACTGCGTCAGATTGAATTGCGGCGGCACAGTGGTGCAGTGGTTAGCATCGCTGAATCTCAGTGCTGGGGCCCTGGGATCAATTCCTGGGGTGCTAACGAGATGGAGTTTGTATGTTCTTCCCAAGTTCATGTGGGTTTCCTCCAGGTACTCCAGTTTCCTCCCACAGTCCAAAGACATGCTGGTAGGCTAACTGGCTTCTGGGAAATTTGGCCCTGGTGTGAATGTGTGTATATCTGTGTCTGTGGGTTTGCCATGTGATGGGCTGGCATCCCTTCCAGGGTATATCCAGCCTTAAACCCATTGCTTGCCGGGATAGGCTCTGGTTCTCCTGCGACGCTGTTTTGGATAAAGAGGTTAGAAACTCAATTCTAAATCAAGTGGGTTTGAGAGAAAAATGAAAAGCAGTGTCTGCAAGCCTGCCTGCCTGCCTGCCTGCCATGAAGAAATTGTGCAATTTAAAATGCTGTGGGGGCGTGGCACCTCTGCCCTCACACTTGAAGGGAGACGTCTGGGTTACTGTGTGCCGACCATGTGTCACTAAGTCAGATACTGTACATTGTCTTTGCAGTTTAATTCTTTGGGGAGCTCTGCTGGCCTGCGGGACTCCTGTTTGGGTTTCTCCTGGAGTCCGGGGGATGCTACAGCCCGGCAGCTCCCTCATTGTCTGGCATCTCTCTGAATGTGCTCTCCTAGCATGGAGGCCTTTTGATCCCTGTTCCTCAGACCCTTTGCAATACCCTGGGAAATGAATGAACTGAACACGCTCTCTCCAGGGCTTGTGTACGGAGGCTGATTTCACACCTACAGTACCTGTCTGTATTTTTGTTTTTTTATGCAGTCGTTTTTTCAGGATTAAATCCCTAGATGTTTACAGTATGTGCTCTTGGATGCAGACAGTTTAAAACAAAAAACAGATTGCCTTAGTGGGCCACGGCGGGGTGCTCCGTTTTGGATTTTTCTCGATCTAAAATACGAGAAGTGCCTCTGTGATGTAGCATCCTTTTCCACTGTAGGCAGTTTGGGTGACATGGTATCTTCAACATGTACTAAGCCCTCATTGCAAAAGTTGGCATTTCCTTTATTATTTATTGTGTTTATCATCAGCGACAGGATAATGTGAGGTCACCCAAGAAGGCTGAGCTACTGGAGCTGTCTCTAGTCTTTTAATAATTACAGATAAATCACACCTTCAAACAAGCAAAACCAATAAAGTTACTCTGCCCCAGAGCATGAATAAAGATGATGTATGGGTCACTGTGAACCTGTAGTTGGCTTGCAGAAAAGAAGCTCATATGTGTGTATAAATAAAAAGAAAGTGCTTTAGGAATGACAGACTTGGCATTATTGAGAAAGCACCTGAAGAGATAAGGAAAGGGGAAGTGAGCTGGTCTTTCATCCTCCTCTTTCCCACTATCCATTCCAGTGTGCTCAAGCATACATTAAAATAAATATAAGAAATATCACATCCAGGTGGAATTCTCTTTCAGCCCTCGGAAGGTAGCCGACAGGGGTCTTCAGTGGAGACACAGAGCAGACACGCTTTATGGTTTTTTATGGGTTTTTGGGTTTTTCTTCCTTTTTTTTGTTCAATTGATTTTCAGCTTGTTTTAGAGCGTTGGTTGTGTGAGAGGTTATGCACGGGAAGTAGACGTGGAATAAGGCTGAGTGGGAACCTTCGAGAGGGGTGATTTCTAACAGGAGTCAAAAATGTTTATTTCATTTTTAATGGAAGTGCATAGAGGGTTTTCACATTTTTCACTTTTTGCAGTTTTGTCTCAGTGGCTCGTAGTTGTAAATATATGTATATATTTCCCTATATGTACAGTAAAGATAGATAAGACTTTATTGATCCCGAAGGGAAACTGATGTGTTACAGCAGCCCAAGACAAGCAAAAAGAGACATCAGAATAGACTAAATTCTATTCGAACTGTAGACATTGCTAATACCTTTTATTTAGTGTGCTGCTTGCTTCTACTACAGTACATCTGCTGTAGTCCCAGCCACCACACTGGCCACTGTACAGATCTCTGGAACTTCTCCTTGTAGACGTGCCCTTGTCACAAGTCCGTCTACCAGTGTACTAAGCCCAATGAGCATTCTTCACTAAAAAGAAAAGGCTTATCGTGTTTGATTGTCTTAAACCATCCCATAATCTTATTCTCAATTTGGTTTTGTCGTTATAAGCATTCTAAATAGCAGAGTGCCCCTGTTTCCATCAGATCTAGGACTTACTTTTTGTACAATCCTTTAAAATCCTTTATAATGCTTCACAGAGGCACCCCTGCACTTTAGTCCTGTCACTGCACTGCGCCGATCGAGAGACGCAGTTTCTCTGCGTTTTGGGGTGGCTTTTACTGGAGAGGGGTGGGGAGCTGCTGCCCCAGAGCCTCCTGTGGGACCTGTGTCCCATCTAAGAGCAAGCAAGAAAATGCTGACGCACTGCAGTCCTGTGGCTTGGTGCTGAGGACTCATTTGTTTAGGTCTTGCTGTAATTTCTGCTGGATTACCTTAGACAAAAATGCATGGAATCAACCTAATTAGCTGGCTATTAAAAAATAAGGAAAAATAGTGTGTGCACTGCTTAATAACCTCACCTGATGGCACTAATTTAAAAAAAATTGTACACTGATTATTTAATCAATTTGAGATTAAGCTTCTTTGACGAGGTTTAATAATCTTCACAGTGTGGATATTCACGTTTTTGCTGCAGCTGCTGGGCTACTGCCATAGGACTTTATATAAACAGACAACACCTGTCAGCAAAACACTCCATTCGCTGAGCATGAAATCTTATTAACTGCCTTACAAAAAATACCAAGGGGGATAATAATAAGATCTTTTATTGGGGGGAAAAAAAATCAAAAGGAAAAGAAAAACAAAAAATTCAGCCTGACAAGCGTCATCGAGCCAGCCAGGCTGTGGGGAAGTGCTTGGCTCGGACTGTCCTCAGCAGGTGCCCAGGGCGCAGTAGGCAAGGTTCAGCGCCAGCAGGAGCTTTTCCACACGGCTGGAGCCATGGTGTGCCTGTGTCCGCCCCTCAGAGATCCAGGAGCGGGCGTCTTTATCTTCTTCTCCGGAGGCCGGGGCTCAGCAGCAGGCAGCGTCTCAAATCAGCCGGGCCCTTGGGGAAGGGCTGAAGGCAATGGGGTTGGGCTGCAGTTTTTCCACACCTGGTCTGGTCTTCCCTGCTGCTACCAGAGGCCCAGTATGATCTGTTGGTGGGTATACTGTACTGTATGTCACCGCTTCTGTCATCTTCAGCCTTTGCCCACCCCATTGGGCCCCCACAGCATTCCTGCTATCATTTCTGACTTCCTGTCCCCCTCCAGTTTGATCTTGCTGGCTTGCTGGTGTCATCTGGCCTTTTTACAGGAAGGTCTTTTGCTAGGCCATCTTTTTCGCCTTTGAAGCTCCGTTCCAGTATTTCCTCGGCTCCGTAAGGACCTGCGCCTGTTTGGGCCCTCTTCCATTCGTTGCCCTCCGGTTTCTCCCAGTTATTTCCAAGCATGCATCTTCCCATTCCTCTCTGCGTCCGCTGTCGATTCTGTGTCAGTCTGCTCTCCAGGTGTTACAGTGAGCAGCACATGTACTGTATATTTACTTTACAGATAAAACGTTTCTGGTGTCTCTGCAGGTTTCGACTGCTAAAATGTTTGTATATGTCAATGTTGAAGCATAAGATCTTACTGTACACACTTCGGGAAGACACATGATTTTTATTTACTTTTTTTCTTTTCAGGCAAACAGAAATATGTAAGATACAGATGAAATGACAAATTATTTAATGCAACTGCTGCTTCAGTTCCATCCTGTGGCCAGTGTATAGTGTTTAATTGACTTGCCTTTTTACTTAAAAAGATGCTGCAATGCTATTTCTGGAGTTGTAATGAGTCGGCAGTGATGAGTGCATTTAAAATAATGAAACTACCTAGGACACAGTAACGTTTACAACCTCCAATTTACATAAAAAAGAGACAAAGATTCAACATATGCGCTGAGCCATTTTGCTGTCATTGTCAGCAATTCAGAACGAGGCAGCAAATTTTCTGATGATGCAAAAAGCAGCCCTATTACATTGTAAAATGCTTTAGACCAAGCACATTTTGCAACTATATTCATATATAGTTTATAACTATATAAAATGATTAAAGCAACATGTTTTTTAGATACTTTTAAAGTATTGCAAAAAAGAGCAACCTGCCAACCAACTAAAACCCCTAATAATTAACATTGTTAGGAGACCGTTTTTCTCATTCGCTCACAGTGACTAGTGACCAGGAAAGGCTGTTTTCAAAGCGGATTCTGATCTGCCTGCAACAACCTGGTGAACATACTGTACAGTTCTTTTACAAAGTTTCACGATTGAACACGTAATTCGAAATTGGTAAAATTGTGAGATGCCGCCAAATAATTAGTTTGGTACGGAGATTTACTAACCGGTCTGAGAAATGGGGACAGCAGTTCCCCTATAATGGGCACATTTAGGCCTTAGGCTTTATCTGTGCTTTCTACCCACACTGTGCCCGCGGTGAATTGTACACCACCTTGATTTCCAAGGGCACGCTGGCGGGAGCTGCCTGCCATGTGCCCTGCCTGTCTTTCCTGTGAAAGTGCAGCTGCTGTGAGGCGGAGCTGTCCTTTTCGCCTTTCTGGCAACTTGATGGAGCAGCTCCCGCCCTGCACTGCTCTGCTGGCCGAGACGTGTCACGCGGAACAGTCCCTCGTCGCACTGTTGTGTCCTTTCAAGTGCGTGTATTTTGGATTATACAGTATTCGATTGAAAAATATTTATAGAAACATTTCCTTACAATCACTGCATCTTACGGCCTCTAATCCTCCAGAGTACATTGCCCAGAGGTATAGCCTCATACTGTATAATGAACAGTGTGTCTGCAAAGTCACAATGTCACCCACAGGGGAAGATGTATGTTTTTTTACTAAACAGACAGCTGTAGGTTCTTTAAACGAAAGAAGTTGATTCTGTCTTTTCATAGAAAGCATTTCCTTAGAGTCGGTCTGATACCCATCTTTTATCACACGTACTGTACAAAATCCAATTCCTCTTTTCTGCCGCGGGATTCCCCCCGCTCCTGTTTCAGTAGCGGGGCATCGGGGAGCCAGCCATTAAACTACAGGAACTGCAAAGGATCGCGTAGATGTACACCTCTTGAGAGCCACTCGAGATGTTGCTGATCTCTTCATGAAAAATGAATCTCATTGTTCACGACGAAAGAAGGAAGTCATTTGTGCAGCTCTGTCCGCGTTAAATCCATCAGCCCTGCATCGTACAGTATTTCACTCAGGCGGTGTCTGTCCTGCCCCACTTAATCATTATGGACACCCTTAGTTTTTTATGGTTTATCACGTTTTGTCATCACGTTTTATCTGGAGATAAATATTTTTAAGAGCCAGCAGAAGTCGCAATCTATACCAGGAGACGTGAATATTAATTAGCCATGGTCATTTCACTAGAAACGCTCTAAGGAAACTTTTAATTCTGCTTTGCGTACATGAAGACAAAGCCGCCACAGACAGCTGATTCACCATTATGAGCGTGGTATAGATCAGTGGTTCCTAGCCCCGGCCCTGAGGGATCACTGTGTCTGCTGGGTTTCATTCCAGCTGACTTCTCAATCACTCACGATGCTAATTGCTGCCTTTAATTGATCTGCTTGCTTGTTTGGACTTCCAGTTGACTTGTTTCTCATTCTGTCCCGAGTTTCAATATCCCCTGCTGTCGCTGTTGTGTTTTAAGCACCTGCAGCATAAATAACTTTAAGCAGCTCAACTCATTTACACGCACGTTTCTGCCCGAACAGCTCTTACCAGGTGATGTATTCGTGATGAACAAGGTCTCGGTCACTCCCAGCTCTGAAGATCATCATCTGTTTTTCTTCTGCAGAGGAGCAGACGGTTACAGTTCGGGCAGCTCTGAGTCTCACAGATCGGAATGGGGTTGATAACTATGACTTTCCCATTCAGCGTTTTTGAGAGCTTAATGCAAACCTAGAAATCTGCACCAAATCAAACGATTTTAATCAGTTGGTGAACTGGAGCCACAATTATGGTATAGATTTACATATTTCCAGTGACTAATATGATTAAGGGTTAATGTTATCCTCATGAGAAAAAAAGTGTATTTACAAACAAGCAGCACTTGCTACGAAGTATGAAAGCACAATTTGAAGTCTTTATAAACTATTAAAACACTATGACACAATTATTTAGTGTAATGAAACAGACATGGATAATTAATAGGCACGTATCCCATGAGCCATTGCAACTTCTGCGGCCGTTGCAATTGGTCCTAAAATATGACAGCAGCTCGCTTTTTACAACAGGGTGGACCCGGGGGAGCTCAGTTTTGCATCAGGTGCAATGACCTGTCTTCGGTAAACAGCATGAAAGGTACAGTAAGAAGCATCGTGTGTTAAACGGAACGGTTTCGACACCTGCTACGAAATATCTTGTCCATAAGTGCTATACAGTACATGCATATTCAATGAGGTCAGGTTTTCTGGGGGATATACTGTACATCACGATGCTTTTAATTACTCACTTCTTCTTTCAAATCTTCATTACTGGTGTCCGTTGCAACAGCCCACACAGCAGCAGCACACACAAGACAGCATATTCTGCCGGCAGCAGCAACTATGTACGTGGATGTGCAGGTGGTCAGGGGGGTCTCGCTTTGCCTGAGCTCCTGGCCCCCTTCTCGCCCCCCGGGGGGAAAGGGCCGGTGTTTAACCCAGCCGCCTCCCTCCGTCACAAAGCGCCGGGCCCGGTCCTCCGCCGGATTGCCTGGCGTCTGAGACCCGCGATTACCAAAGCGTCCACTGGGGAAGGACAAACGGTGCAGGGGGGGATTGCGAGGTGAAAGGGGGCAGCGCGAAGCAATTTCATTTTTATTAAAACTGCTTCTGCAGCTTGCGCTTGGTGTGCACAGGGCCTCTTCCATTTAGAAACACGTCAGCACAGCAAGGTTTTCGATTCGTTGTGAGGGTTTTATTTATTTTCCTGCCGTTTTAAAGCCCGGCTGCACCTGAAGTTTGCAGAAGGGGGGGGGAGAATACGGCTGCTCCTGCGGTTAGCAGGACTGGTGGTTTGCTGTTTCACCTCTGAAAAAAGGACTAGCCGTGCGGCTTGTGCAGATGTGAAATAGTTCTAAAGGTAGCGGCAAACACGTCTGGAAACAAACGGGACCAGAATGATCTGATGTTGTTTTGGACTGCTGGTCTCTTTCCCTCTTGAAACCCGCTGGTTTTTACGCGAACCGTCTGCTTTATGCATTTGTTTATCTCATTGTCGAACCTGAGACACTTCATCATGTTTTCAGAACAACGACGTCATTTACTAACGTACATGTAGTGTACTCTCACAAAGCCGAGGACCTTTGGAACAATACTTTCCTGTACATGCAGTGTCTAGATAAATCCATGTTTGCAGCAGTAATGAAGAATTGTGGCCGAGCCCCTTTACTTGGAGCATGTCAGCAAAATTAAATAACTGTCAGCAGAAGAAACCTTCATTATTTAGCATTCTGCTCACCTCTTCTCTCCTGATTAAGACTCAGTATCTCTCCCATGTACACTATGTAGCACACAGTAGTGTGAAAAGGCATTTTATTAATGTTCTGCAGAATATTCTTTATCTGGATTAAATGATTGAGGATCATGATGTTTCTGTCCTGCAGTGTCCATGGTTAAAAGCTGCCAGTTGTGTTTTTTAGTTATATCTAGCTAAGCACAGGTGATGTGTAGGTAGTTTTTTGTATGAATCAGTCCTTAGACTCTAAAACTGAATTATTTTGTCTGGCAATTTTTAGTTGTTGTTCAAGTCTGTGGAGTTTTACTATACACAGATAATGAGTTAATTTTATTTTATCTACTTAGGAGCAACTTGTGAACATGCACTCAGCTATTCATTGAGTTACCTTCTTATAGATAGTACCATATATATAAGTTCTATCCTGTACATGCATGGACCTAACCAATAGCCTTTAAGGCAAATTTCTATTTTTCACAGATTTTGTGGAAATATTATTGGATGCATGTAAAGATGACTGACTCCATTTGATGATTTGGTAGCTGGTGAGCTTTTCAGGCCGCTTGACAAAAACAATTAGAAGGGTGTTGAATACTGTTTTGTTTAATATTAACCCTCAAGTGAGTTTAGCTAAATTAGAATGCAGACGGCCAGATAGAAACATGATTTTGTGGCTCCTCAGAAAAGTAATTTTGATCACTGTTATTCTGTACATAATGATTCAATGCCCCTTGACTTAAAGCAAGGCTGTTTATTTTACTTTATTTTTTGTTAGCCACCCTCACTAAATTCCACTCAATCTGTAAAATATTCTGCCGCTGAGACTGAATCACTCCCCCGCACTTGGCTGTACAGTTATGAACGGCGTGCAGCACCGAAGAAAACAGTCATGTTCCAAATGAATAGCAGGCCATGAATTCTAAGGAATATAATGTCTCTGAATTACTTTATTCATTTGTGTAGTTTTCCAGGACGTGAATAGGCTCAGCCTACTCTTGTTGAAGCCCCTTCAAAAAGCCTTTGCCTTTCAGAAGCTCAGCTTCAGACTCAAGGTCAGCAGCATTTCAAATGGCTTTTAATAGACAGGGCTTTGCTGTATGTGTGTTGGTGAACACGTTTCATTTTTAGTTTTGATTTCCACCCTCCCTGCAGGAAGATAACACTGATTTAGAAGTTTGTGATTTTTCTGACAGGTGCCCATCCACCCAGCATGATCAAGCTCTGATGTCTCTGGTGGTTGTAAAGGTACCTTATTACAAGGTTAGGCCTGTGAAACTATAAATCACCCTTAGGATTTGAATACTGTTCACTACACCGCACATGGAGAAAAATATCATTGATTTATTTTTGCATGTATTGTTTGACAAAAGGGAGGCATGGTGGCACATTGATTAGCATTGCTGCCTCCCTATGAGGGGACCCTGGGTTCAGTTCTAAATCTGGGGTGCTATCTACAGTACATGGAGTTTGTATGTTCTTACTGTGTTTGTGCTTTGTGGGTTTCCTCCAGGTGCTCCAGCCCCACAGTCCAAAGACACCCTGGTAGGTTCATTGGCTCCTGGGAAAAATTGGCCCTGTTTGAGCGTGTGTCTGTGAGGGACTGGAATCCCATTCCCACTAGTATATCCTGCCTTGCGCCTGTTCCTTGCTGCGACAGGCTCCAACTCCCCTGAACTCTGTGCTGGGTAGAGCAGTTAGAAACGCAGTTACTGTAGGATGGATGTTTTAGAAAAATAAAGTATACAGATTATAGGTAAAGAACAGCATCCCACCAGATAGCATACTGTCATATCTGATCAATGAAATCTGTGATTTTGTTGCTGTTAGAACAAAAGATTTATTTGGATGTGCTGTGTATTTACAGGATATATACTGTAAAATGATAAATTACTGCATTGAAATGTATCATATGGGAAGTACTATTAATTCAGTAAAATGTAAATGCAATGTTTGCAATGAGTGTGAAGGTGGGTTCTCATAGGACAAAGAGGGGGGTCTTATATTTTGTTTATTATAGTGAGCATTTTTTGGAGGGACCAGTGGTACAGTGATTAGCATTGCTGCCTGGCAGCGCTGGGACACTGGGATCACTTCCTGTCCTGGGTTGCTGTCTGCGTGGAGTTTGTATGCTCACCCCATGTCAGAGTAGGTTTCCCCTGGGTGCTCCAGTTTCCTCCCACAGTCCAAAGACATACTGGTAGGTTAATTGACTTCTGGGATGTAAGTGAGTATGTCCTGCAATGGACTGGCACCTCTTTTAAGACTGACGACCTGGAGTTGGATGATAGTGTGCATTTGCCCAGAAGAAGATGGAAATCATAGACATCAGACCTGCTATTCACATGCTTTAACAAAACAGTTATCATAAAGTCCTGCTGCTTTTCATGAGTCTCCAAAGAAATAGAATCATGTTTTTTTCATGAAGTGCTTGATGAGTATATGAAGAAAAATAACTTCTGCCATGTTGTAGTGATTCCATATGTTTTGAATATACAGTACTTTTGTGTACCTGCTGATTTCAGAAGAGTCACGTATCACCCCTGGGGCTTTCACACCAGGATGTTATAAATCTTCCTTTCTGTGCTTGCTGTTGACAGGTCTGCTTGTGCATTATATAGGCAGAGACCACATCAGGGCCCAGACATAATACAATGCATTGTGCTCTAAAGTATTATAATTTAGAAATATTTTGCCAGGAGCCATGGGGATAATCAAATCACCTCCTCTTCCAGTAGTTGACTAAACAGGTTTGTGGAAAAGGGTAATTGCATTCAAATGGTCTTCACAAACAACTCCAGTGAGGCCAGTGCACATTTGTAGACATTTCCACTTTATTATTCAGAGCTGAAGTCTCTTCTGCTTTTGCAGCCTTGTTTCTCTGCAACATGTTTTGCATTTGAGAGATTGGCTTTCCCTCGAACTTGAACTTGAACTTTATTGCCATATGTAACCGGTACTGGTACAATGGAATTCTTACTTACAGAAAGTCTCTCGATTATAAAACAAGTGTAAAAAACAAGACAAAGTGCAAACAGTGCATCAAGACAATGTACAAACAAACAATAGACAATGTGCAAGTAAACATATAGACAGTTTGAATGTAAACAATACAGACGTGTAAACAATGACTGGAGATGTGCAATAGACAAGAAATCATAAAGAGGTAGATGGTGATGGTGTAGGTGTGGTCCGAGGGGGATGGCTCAATGTGTTCGCCAGTCTCACTGCTTGTGGATAGAAGCTATTGAAGAATCTAGTGGTTCGTGTCCGTATGCTCTTATATCTCTTGTCTGAGGGCAACCTCCTTTGGTTTGCTGAGAATACGGATGTGGGGCTGCTGCAGACTTATTGTTTCCACTCCAGGGTGGGAGATACTCCGTTTAGCCTGTATGATGTAAGTCAGTGCCTTGTCCTAGAGACACTGACCGCCCCTATCTGATCTTCTGAGGTGAATCTGACAGCCCTCTGAAGTGTATGGAGAGCCAGCACAATGCACAACAAAAATACACAAATCAAATACAGTAACAATTAATAAGAGTTGAAGTAGGCAGCTGCGTCAACTTGTTCCTGTGCAACAATTAATAAACTATGCAGTTTGACGTCTTATGAAGCTGAGGCTGTTGGAAAAGGTTTCAGTGCCTATCTCCATACATACCTGCTGTAGTGGCAGGTCGATTTTCCAGTGATGTTAGAGTTCATCATTCTGGTTCACAATGCACGGTTGAGTTCTTCAAACTGGGTCACAGAGTTAGGAGATGAACTACAGTATACCTGTTGGTCTTTCTCTAACATCTAGAGATCTGCAACTTGATGAAGATGTAGGCTTACAAAAACAACATTGTCTTTACTTTCTGCTTTGGAAAAATGTAACCCTCAATAGGAATGAAAAACATACTGTATATTTGAAAAAAGAGCACATAGCCTGTGAATTTTTTTTATGCTTGTGAATTCATGATCATGAATGGGGGTCGAAATGCTTTCAGTAGCTCATTCTAGAATCTTTCTCTATTTGTCAGAGAGAGCACGGTTGCTTGGAAACTGGTCAGCTGTCCGTTGTGATGTCATCTCTGCCATTCTTATGGTGGTGAGGTGGGGTCATGAACTCAGTTTTGTTTGGACAACTATTTGTTTTCACCTCAGATGTCGGCAAACAACCATTTCTTCTCCCAAGCAGTATTCGGAAAAGTTTTTTTTTTTAACTGATGAGTCTTGCATGCTCTGTGCCACCCATACATTAATTCAGAAGTATCCTATAAAGGA